GTGGGCGAGGCCCGTATCTCCTAGATAGCGGAGTGTGGGCAAGGCCCGTATCTCTTAGAAAGTGGAGTGTGGGCGAGGCCCGTATCTCCTATATAGCGGTGTGTGGGCGGGGCCCGTATCTCCCAGCTAGCGGAGCGTGGGTGTGGACCGTATCTCCACGAGTGTGGGCGAGGCCCGTATCTCCTAGTTACATGCTATGTGTAGATGGTATGTGGTAGATTGGGGAGACTCACTAAGCTTCGTGCTTACGGTTTTCAGTTTTGGTTTCAGGTACTGCGGTTTAGAGAAAATGAGCACGGGATGATTGCAGTGCACACACTATTTATTCAGCCTGGGATGTTTATACTCTGATATATATTTGACAGACCTTAAGATATTCTTGGGATACACGATTCATGATTTCTATATGTTGAATGATAGATATGGTTTTATTCATGATTTAAAACGAACTTTTTTAGACTGTATTTTTGGGATGTTTCAATATCCATAAATAGACATTTGACAAATTGAATGAGAATGTTATAGCTAGAAAAAAAAATTATTTATTAGAGAACTATTAGAAAAAACATATTATCTTGCGTGTTGCTTTAGCCATTTCCTTCCTTTTTGTGATTAGCCCATTTAATTTCTTAGTAAATCATTTTTCGAAAAGAATTTTTGAAAAAGAAACTTAAAAAGAGAAAAAAGTTTTGAAAAAGAAAAAAGGGTGTGGTGCATGCAATCAGCCGAGCTCAAGTAAGTACTCCCAAATTACCCATACAAGTTTATGCTATGATATGATTATCAACTTTATGAGAACTGCATGCTAGTTTAGGGCTAAGGATCTAGGGAGGATGCCTTATGTGCCTGTTATATGTGTACCATCTTATTGAGAACTGCATGCTAGTACAGATTAGTCAGTATGATAGCTAGAGTAGTATATGCTTGATTATGTGTACTCAATGCCCGAATGCTGCTTGCTTTGTGCTTTTAGGAGTTCTAGTTGTCTTTCACTAACTAGTAAACGAATATGTTAAGTTACACATTGCAAGGACTAAATAATTTTAGAAGGTTAGGTCTAGCTCTATTTCGCAGCTCTTGTTTGAGTCCAACCGTTGTAGGGTAGGATCTCTCATTCGAAGAATTATCTAGTCTGAGTAATATGTAATAGTATTCGCGAGCTAGTTAGGGGAAGAAAGCAGGGACTTCTTATGCAGCTGATGGTGGAGAGTGGGTTGGTGATTACCCTAGGGCAAGCCTAGGATGAGATTAGCATGAGATCAGCAGAAGTAGTAGAAGGGACTTGGTGGAGTCGAGGCAATACTTGAGGAAAGTACGGATAGATGTGGAAGGTAGTATGGGCCCGTACTACTGAAAGTAGAGGATCCGTACTCGAATCAAGGAAGGCTAAGATGAACCCAAGGAACTTGTAGTGTGTGAGATCCCTCGAGTTTGGATGAGTATTGTGATGTTAGTGATGGTATGTTGCCGAGTATAGTGACGCTATTTGGTAGACCAGATGGTAGTTCTGGTGTCGACGAGGGATCAGGCTCAGACTCTGGAGTCGGGCAGATTGATGATCAGATGAGGGAGTTCATTCCATCTGAGAATTACGCGCAATATCATTGACCAGACTCCTGTGATCCTCAGTGTGATCAAGGAGGGCATTATAGAGATTTGTGATGAGAGGCCGAGTGCATTCTGCACTGAGATAGCGGTCATGATAGAGACCCGTACGTTGATGTTTCGGGAATTCAGAGTTTGTGAGGCTTCAGATTGTCATGGGGGTTAGGGACCCCATTGTTAGCAGCAGATGGTTGGCAGATGTCACTAACACTTTTCGTACCAGACGTTGTCTCAAAAGGAGACAAGATCTGACTTACTTCATGTCTCCTGAGGGATAGAGCACGAGATTAATAGGAAGGGGTTGGTAGTGAGTTGAGTGATGATGCGGTTGATGCTATGTCATGGGATGACTTTTAGATCAGATTCTGGGCAGAGTGAGCCCAGGCGATTGAGGCGCAGCAGTTGGCGCAAGAGTTGTTAGATCTCCACCAGGCGACTGAGATTGTGGAAGAGATCACTGCCAAGTCTCGGGAAAGAGCTTATACGGTACCACAATATGCAGCAGATGAGGAAATGAAGAAGGTAAGTTATCAGAACATACTGTAGAATGATAGCAGGGAGATCATGAGTATCTCGGGGTGCAAGACCCTGAATGGTATGACTTCTAGAGCTTGGGAACGGGATTGGGAAAGTACATCGTCATCTTGGTTTATTCCAAGACTGAGGAGCAGCACGAGAAACACCTGAGGGAGGTGCTAGAGACTTTGAGGAGGGAGAGACCTTTTGCAAGGTACTCCAAATGTGAGATCTGGTTGCGCGAGGTGCAATTTCTTGGTCACCTTGTCAATCAGAAAGGTATTCTAGTCATTCTGGCCAAGATAGAGGCCGTGATGCAGTGGGAGATTCCAAGGTCTCCAATAGAGATTCAGAGCTTCCTGGGTCTAGCGGGTTATTACCGGAGATCTATTCGGGTTCTTGGAAGTGGTGTGATCTTTTGGACTGGCTAGTATTGAAACACTAGCAATGGCAAACGTGTTTTTTTAGCAGATTGGGCATAGAATGGTAAGAAGGATTGAGAATCCTTCCAGTATTGTGTGCCGTAAGACGTTAGTTAAATCAAAGTGGGGGAGAATCATCCAAGGATTCAGAAGTAGGAACAGTTTTGAAACTGGGATAAGTTTCGCATCCTCGTTTGAAAGGAAGACAGCCCAAGCGGCTGTATGGTTTGAGGATAGTGATAGAGTGTTGTAAGTCTGCGGTGGTAGCCGTAGCATTCACTAGCAGCCAGATAGTATTAGAGTGTTGTAAGTCTGCGGGAGTAGCCGTAGCATTCACTAGCAGCCGGATAGTGATGGAGTATAGTAAGTCTGCAGGTGTAGCCGTAGCATTCACTAGGTTGGTAGATAGCGTGAGTGCGTTGTTAGGACGTGGAAAGAACAATAGTACCCACCAGTTCGGATGTAGCAGTGAGGATATGGAAATCCACGGATTGGAATTTCGGAATTATCTAGGTGGATTAGATCTAGTTGAGCCAGTGATAAGACTGTAGGGTCGCCACTGCAGTTTTGAGACCGAGGAAGCAATGAATTGCTTAAGGTTGCTTGTTATATAAGGCTACAATTGGTCATGTAGCAATCGCATTTAGCCGTGGTTTGGTAATATCAGGATTCGATGTACGGACCCGATCAGTTGGATCAGCAGGTTGTTAGAGCCTCAATGACATGATAACCAGTGGCAACTAGTTCCAGAGAAGGATTTGTTCAGAAGTCGTGCGAGTCGACTAAGTAGGGATCCCTTTGGCTCCGCGGCCGGGCCGGAACCCGGTATTTCAGGTGATTGGCGAGCGAATTGAGACCTAGGAGGTCTCGTTAGATTTTGGAGAGCAGCCTTGTGGCAGCATACTGCTTCAGGCAGTTCAGTATTCAGACAGTTTCAACGTTTGGGTAGTAATAATAATTGTGTTTTAGGTTATATATATGAGCGGAATAGCTGGTTGACTGGGAAGTGACAAGTCACTTGCAGCGGGATTATCTGAGTTTTGGCCAAGTATAAGTGAATCAAAGGGATAAGTGAATCTGTGATTCTATTTTCTAGTGGGAACCTTGAATTATCAGAAAATGAGTAGGCAGCTGAGAGACAAGTGGATTGGATTCAGCAAAGACCATCTCGAGACAGCAGAATTCAGATGAGTAGATGTGATCTTGTTGCGGGGAAATTAGTTCGCCTGCAGCTTTTAGGGCTTTGCGAAGATTGATCACAGCCACCCTGGGAAGGCTAGGGTGTGCCCAGGATAGTGACCATGTTACTAGAATGGATGGGCGTGTAAGGAATGGTAAGGAATGATTTCGAGGATGAAATCTAATTTAAGTGGGGGAGAGTTGTAACGCCCTGTTTATTTAAATAAATTAATAAGTGTAAGTTCCGGATTCAGTTTATAAATATTTATGAAGACGAAGGCTCCGTGGTAATTATTGGGACTTAATTTGAAAAAGATTTGAAGGCTTAGGGGGGCTGATTGGTAATTTCGGGACCTATTATGAAGAGATTCTTGAAGTCAGGGGCTGTTTGGAATATGTTGGATTTAACAAAGAACCATACGAATGAGTAAAAACATATAAATTCGAAAACAGTGTCTGACTTATAGATTAAAGGGGTTAAAAGGAATTAAGGAAGAAGTACATACACTTATTCGACTAATCAAACTGATGGGAAGGTTGAAGTTTTTTTGCTTTTGTTTTCTGCGGAGGAATTATGACAAAATGTTTTTGTAAATCGATTATTAAAAATGTTTGGAATCTATATACAAGTCAATATGATGAAAATTAGCATGTAATCAATTGAAATCTCATTTAAACTTAAAATAGAATATATGCTTGAAAATGTATTGGTTCATAATAATATCCAAAATTTTTGAAGTTTGAAATTAATAGTTTCCGATATTTCAACGTATATATTTGAAAATAATTTTTGAATGAAAATAGAGCCTAAATTTAAGGTTTACATTAATAATGAACCAATTTTGTAGTTGTAAGTTTGGAAAGAAATCAAGTATTATTCTCATTCAATTACTGCATTTAATTTCCTAATATAACGGATGCAAATTAATATTGGAAACGAAATTTGATTTTGGAAACTTTAAAATCATTAAGGAACCGCGTAAGGTTTCAAAACAAACGGATTGACTTCTTGTTTGATCAATGTGACGTAAGCAAATTGATCTAAAGGTGTAAAACCTATAAAAAAAACACAATCAACGGCCCTGATTGATTTAGATGATGTCATAAGGTTTCTCTTTTAATAATATCTAGAGATTGAATTGTGTTAACGTACTTAATTGTGATTAGCCCGTTTAATTTCTTAGTAAAATTGAATTATGTTAACGTCCTTAATTGATTGTTTTCTATCTTTCTTTTGTAATTTGAATTTTCTTAACGTTATAGATTAATTTGTAAGAGACTTGAGCTCCACTCTGCCCTACCAACCACGGACCACCAATCTCTTATCATCCATGAGACTATGACGCCAACAATCCAAGCATCCAACATTACCTCCGATCAAAATTATCAAGTTAAAGGCTTAACCTTTACCAACCTCTTTGAAAATCTCTTCTACTTCCACTACTCGGTTAGTTCTTCCCTAATTTTATAATAAAATAAGATAAGATTTCAGACACCCATTCTTCATCAATTCAAACGACTCACACCCTAAATAGATTAGGGCTTTCCCCAACTCTTCTATCTATTGTCAAACCTTCATTTCAAGATTATCATTTTATTCTTTCTCTTTTCTATCTTTTATTTTCATTATGCAGTTTGATTGTTTACTATATCTTGATTAAATTCGGTTTTTCTTTCTTGCCATCTTTTTATTGCTATTCTGAATCTTCATCAGTTTTTTGGTCTTCTAGGGTCTTGTATTTAAGAATCCGAATTATCTCAAGCACCCATTTGGAGTTAGGTTGTATAGATTCGATCTTTAGATCATCTAATTATGCCCATGTTAGCTTTCTCTATCTTCTTTCTTATATAGAGTATTTTGTACCTTTCCTGAAAGAACCCATAAATTTCTTGAATATTTTAGATTGTTAAGTCCATGGCGTATTCCACAATTCGCTAACTTCTTCAAGACCCATCATTCCTCTCCCTCGATAGATCTATATAATTGTTGTAATTTGCGCTCACTCGTTTAAGAAATGTATGGAACTCAAAGCAAGAGGGATTTGTCGCTTGAGATTCAATCACAAATCCCAATCTTGAGACCAAGCATTCATGCTAGAAGGGCAAATATTACAGTAAAGTTTCAAGATCTTTATGGGTTTACTGTGGAAGGCAATGTTGATGATGCAAACATATTGAATGAAGTGAGAGAGAAAGTGAGGGAACAAGGTAGGGTTTGGTGGTCATTAGAAGCCAGCAAAGGGGCAAATTGGTATTTGCAAACCGATGTATCCTCTGCCCTTAAAGCATCCCTGAAATTTTCAGTTTTAGTGAATGCAATCACCCTCAAGAAGCTAATAAGGAAGGGGATTCCTCCAGTTTTGAGACCTAAAGTTTGGTTTTCTTTATCTGGCGCTGCTAAGAAGAAATCGACTGTTCCTGATAGCTATTACAATGATCTGATAATAGCTGTTGAGGGTAAAGTCACCCCTGCCACTAAGCAGATCGATCATGTAAGCTATACATATGAAGATTTTTCTGTTTTGTCTTGAAGGGTATTTTAGACATTTGACACTCTTGCAGGATCTGCCTAGAACTTTCCCTGGTCATCCATGGTTGGACACTCCCGAAGGTCATGCTTCTTTGAGACGTGTTCTTGTTGGTTACTCTTTCCGTGATTCTGATGTTGGTTATTGTCAGGTAAATAAAAAATTCAACTTTTTGTTTTTTTTTGAATCCATTATCCCTTTACTTTGTTTAAGATGATGAAAGATGATGCATATGTTGAATCAGGGTTTGAATTATGTTGCTGCATTATTGTTACTTGTGATGAAAACCGAAGAAGATGCTTTTTGGATGTTAGCAGTTCTTTTGGAAAATGTACTAGTCAATGATTGTTATTCAAGTAACTTAACAGGCTGCCATGTAGAACAACGGGTGTTCAAAGATTTGTTGAAAAAAAAGTGTCCAAGGTAATATTTTCATCTTTCAAGATTCTTCATAGTCTTTTTCTTTTTAAAGTTTACAGCTTTTAATCTTTCAAGATTCTTAAACATGCAGTATATATGCTCATTTAGAAGCCATTGAGTTTGATGTTTCCCTTGTTGCCACTGAGTGGTTTCTTTGCCTCTTTTCAAAGAGCCTGCCTTCAGAGGTAGTAACATTTCTTTACTGATAATAGCAACATACTTTATTTTTGCAATTTTGGGTAAAAAATAAACTACATTGCCTATATTGGTAAAAAGAATAAAGTATGTTGCTATTTTTTGTAATTTAGATACATGTTTATGTATCTAAATATCTAATGGTTTCTTACTTACAAAACTTATTCAGACAACCTTGCGAGTTTGGGATGTTCTCTTCTACGAAGGAGCAAAAGTTCTATTTAATGTGGCTCTAGCTATCTTCAAGGTGATGATACACTTGTACTCAATCCCATGAAAATTGAAAATTGCAACTTTTTTTTTATAAAAATGTTTGATTTTTTTGTCAAATGTCTGAAATAGTCTTAAAAACATTGCAGATGAAAGAAGAAGAGTTGCTCACAACACACCATGTTGGGGATGTAATTAATGTAATACAAAATACCACTCATCATCTATTCGATCCGGATGATCTATTGACGGTAAGATAATTTTTGTCCTACTGACATCAGTTCCAGTCTAATCCAATGCGTGTCAAACGCAGTACAACATGTTCTGTTCTGTCAGTGTGCGTGATGTTTTGGTATTTTTTGTAGGCCGCGTTTGATAAAGTGGGGTTTATGACAAGCACAAGTATAAATATATCAAAGGAAAGGAAAAAGCAAGAACCAGCTGTAATGGCAGAACTTGATCAGAGATTGAGACGCCTAAATTCTAATAATGTGGAAGTTGATAGCTGAAATTTGTGATGCAAGTTACAAAATTAAAATATATACATGAAAATGTTGTAGTACAAATGCCAATTAGGCAGTTTCTTTGGGTTGTATTAATATGTTTATGAGAAAACTTATTTCATGACAAAAAAAAAGGATTTACCTTAAGATCCTATAACATTGCTAATACGATTCTATTAAGTTAATATAATCTTCTTATTAATATTGTTGTTATGACGAGGATATACGTTTGTGCCCAACATTAATTGTTTCAATATTTACTATAACAACGTAAAATATTTTTTTTCATCAAAGTTTTTGTATTTTTGTTGAAAGAAGTTAAGAAACAAGAGAGAATTTATTTATGATTCGCATGCTTCAATAAAATCCAAATTTTGTTTTGTTGAACTCAAAGAAACTCGGACAAGAGTCATCCATTTGGATATTGTGGTTTATAAACATCTGAATCATCTTCTTCCTGTAACCCCTTTCTCGCTTCAATCAATTGATAAACCCTAATTGTATTCCAATTACAAAGGAAATGCGATTTCGCAAAAACCGCCTCCATCTTCAATCTTTAACTACGCAATGAATCGACACTCTTATCTTCATCATCATCGTCATCACTTTGTTCAGACCCAACTAGCATCTGTAAAATCAAAATCGTAATCATTATGTCCGATTTGGACGACATTGACCTCGGCCCAGAAGACTTTTTGGCATCAGTCCCACTGAAAAAAGTTCCTTACGGCGATGTTTTCGAAGCCTCACGCGCCGGCGACGTCAACCGGTTGAAATACCTATTGGAGTCCGGTGTTAATGTTAACGCGCGCGACCAGTGGGACTCAGTGGCTCTGTATTACGCTTGTTTAGCAGGGCATCTTGACGCCGCCAGGATGTTGCTGGAAAACGGCGCAATTTGCTCCGAACACACCTTTGATGGCGATAGATGTCATTACGCGTCGTTGAATTTGAAGGTCAGGAAGCTCTTGAAGGCGTTTGAAGCTCGGCCGCCGCCGTTGGGTCCGTTGCAGGGAGCTTTGAGAGAAACCTTTCTTGGGTGTCTCGCTAATATAGGTAATCTAGAGCAATTGGATGGTCAATCTCAGCTTACAGGTTCGTACAAACATCTGATCTTTATACGTTTGATTAAGATTTGTTGTTAATCAAATTGAATATCGATCAGACCAAGTACTTTGATTAGGTGATTTGTCTAATGGAGGATCCAGCCCGGGCTATTTTCCTCCAGATGTTGTGTTCTATCTCCATGGAAGACCTATCGAAGCTCATAGAGTCATCTTGAGCGCTCGATCTCCCTACCTCAAGAACAAATTCCAGAACGATTGGAGGTGTCGCAAGGAAATAAGATTCTCTCGAGAAAAACTGTCATATCCTGCATTCTACAGCCTGATTCATTTCTTTTACTCTGATAGACTCGAGATTGCAGTGGACGACATGGAAGATCTTGTGAGAATATGCAAAGTTTTGAAGTGTGAATCATTACAAAAAGTGATAGAAAAGGAAGTGAGACATCAAAAATACGCAGATTATAAAGCCCTACAAGATATCGACAATTCACAAAGACGATATATCTTACAGGGCACTTCTCTTCCTGAAGATGATCGTCTCCCTGCTGCTTTATCCCGTCTTCTTCAAATATCTCTTGCTAATTCAACCAACGAGCATGATGATCCTGTTTCACGAATCGGGTCAATGAAATTAACTTCATTGGAAGATGATCTTGCAGATGTTTGTATAAAAGTTGATGACAAGATCTTTCGTTGCCACCAGATAATCTTAGCTTCAAGATCTGAATACTTCAAAACAAGACTTTCCCGCATGGATGATTTCCTTGAAGGAAAAGAAGGTTTACCAAATTACCCTCTTCCACTTCTTGAAGAACGTGATCTTTCCATGGAAGCTTTCGAGAAAATGATCGAGTACATGTAAGAGTCAATACCTTCCATTCCCCCTTTCCATTATAATATTACCTTATAAAAAAACACATATATATTTATATGTTTTGATCTCAGGTACACAGATGGTTTGAAGGATGTAGACCCTGATCAGGTACATTCTAAAATTCTAACATTCATGAATGATGATTATGAATTGAAATTTGTTCGATTTCATACAACAGGCTGAAGAAATGTTTGATGCTGCTTCAAGATATTTGTTATTTCCACTTAAACGAGCTGTAGCTGATGCTGTTCTACCTCATCTAGAAATGATTCCTCCTGCAGAATTGTGTCAGTGGTTGATATTATCAGACATGTATGGTGTTTTGAAGATCAGGGAATATTGTCTGGATATAATGGCATGCAATTTTGAGACATTTGCAGACACACGAGAGTTTAGAGCAATGGTTTTGAGTTTGCCACCACCTTCAGGAGATTCATCACTTCGAACCACTGTTCCAAATGCTCCTGGAGCTGAAATGAAGATGACAGAAGGGAATGTTCTTGATGATTTGCGTGAAAAGTGGCTGGAAATTGAAGCAGGAGAGCTTGATGAAAGAGATGAAAGTGCATTGCTGTTTGATAAGCGCCTTGAGATGCTTATGATGGTGGCAGAAAGGGAGCAAGCTCAAGCTCACTCATCATCTTCTTCCTTCTGATCATTCTGATAAGTGTTATAGACTTATAGTGTATATGTCACTTTCTATTCTTTCCTCTTTTTTGTGGGTTTGGAATAGTTAATGCTTCCGAATATGTGGAAAGATTTTAAAATTTATATTGATTCAAATTCCTACTTTGTACTAAAGATTTAAACCCAAGATCGTATGTTTCTGGACGAAACTGCAAGATTGGTCCCTGTGGTATTCAAAAAACTTTGGATAGGGTCCAAAAAGTTTCACTTGCATAGAAGGTCCAAAATCAAGGTTTTTCTGAGTTTTTGTTCCAAAAAATCTTGAAATGACGGTTATATCCTTTTAATTTCTTTTTTATATTTTTTTAATTTTTCAAATACTATTTTAATTTAAAAATAAAAAGAAAAGAAAATAATTATCTCTCTCTCTCTCTCTCTCTCTCTCTCTCTCTCTCTCTCTCTCTCTCTCTCTCTCTCTCTCTCTCCATGGTTTTGTTGTTCTTTGTTTCCCCTCTTCAACTTCGTTTTCCCTTCTAAATTCAACTTGACAATCAGGAAAAGAAAAAGGGAAAACATGAATGTGATTGTTTTTCAATTTTAGAATTGATATCGATTTGAAGTGTTTAAGAACCAAGATGTGCCCCTTTCTTTCCCCTCCACGCAGATCCAAAAACAAAGTTTATTCTCCAAGAAAAGTGAAGAACCGATGAAATGGTCTTCTCCACCTGCAATTTGTGTTCATGGTGAAGGTGGGTGAAGATCTGTAATGTTTGTCGAAAAAACCCTAGCATCCGATGCCACCAACCTTAGATCTGTAATGAACTAGGTCTTCTCCATCGTTCTTCCTTTAGGGCTTTCTGCTTTAGATCTGTCCATCAAGCGATTTAAGGCACCTGGACACGTTGTCCTTACTAGTGAACATACACTATGGATCTCCAACCTCCAGAGAATCGACGAGCACCACCGACGACACATCAACAACTTCAGATCCAAGCTTCGGTGATTCCGGTGGTGGAGGAGCATTAACCGCCCATCAAACTATCCTCAAAGCATTCGTCGAAACAACCCATATATGTGTGGATTCGTTGAATGTGGATTGATGTCGATTTCTGGATTTAATGTATTTTTTTGTCTTCGTTCTTGTTGTTGTTCCGACATAGTGATCATCTTTTTCTTTTTCCAGATCAAAAGAAATTCGTTTTAAATACATCATCACTATATCTATCTGTATAATTTTGGTTTAAGATGAAGATATGAAAATGATTTCATCTAGTTAGCCGTACATATACATAAACCAATTTTAGGTTTAGGTTTCGCATCAGAAATCGATTCATATTAAGATTAGGTTTTGGAAATCAATTTTCAAAAGATGTTTGTTAAGAAGGAAATATGAAGATACAGGTGTTAATTCGTTGAAGAAGAATATGGAGGATGAATGAAGAACTAAGAAGCATGTCCCCTCCCACTTTGCATTTTCGAGAGAGAGAGAGAGAGAGAGAGAGAGAGAGAGAGAGAGAGAGAGAGAGAGAGAGAGAGAGAGAGAGAGAGAGAGAGAGGGTTGGGGATAATTATTTTCTTTTCTTTTTATTTTTAAATTAAAATAATATTTGAAAATTTTTAAAAATATAAAAAAGAAATTAAAAGGGTATAACCGTCATTTCAAGTTTTTTTGGACCAAAAACTCAGAAAAACCTTGATTTTGGACCTTCTATACAAGTGAAAAACTTTTTGGACCCCATCCAAAGTTTTTTTAATACCACAGGGACCAATCTTGCAGTTTTGACTATGTTTCTGTTGGAGGATGTTTGGTAAGATAGAATGGAATAAAAAAAGGAACATAATGGATTGGGTATTATTATCATATTTGGCTGGTTTGAAGGAAATGAATAAGTCATTCAAAATTGTTGTTTGTTATGTACAATTAGAAAACTAAGTTAAAAAAAAATTCAATGTATTTTACAAAAATAAACTTTAATTAGATAAAATATATATCGCTAATTAAATTGCATATAAACTTATATTTATGTTGTTTAAAATATATACTATATGCATTTTAAATAGTCAGAAAATTTTAAAATTTAAGGATGACAACGTGCAAGTTCAAGTGCAAGTGAAAGAAGAAGATATTAAAAGGACAAGAGGTACATACTTCAATTCTTTATTTAACGCAAATACTTTTTAGGTTAGGGGTAAAATTGTTGAAGATATTGTTGGGCAATATCACACCACCAATGATTGTCCCACACGAAGATTGAGTGTGAGGAAGTGAAGAAGGCACTAAGGAGGATGGGGAGGGACAAATCCCAAATACAATATGGTTGTGACTAAGGAGGATGGGGTGGGACAAATCCTTTGGGTCGGACCTAATCCTTATTACAATATGGTTATGCCTAAGAGAGGAGGGAGTAGGTGATCGGTCAATTTTACTTGATTTTATTCTTTGTTTTTATAAGTATAATTGCAGTAATTTATGTGAAGAATGGACCTACTTTAATGATATTTGTATGATGTGTTTTAGGGTAAAAAACAAGGAAAAACGATGTAAAAAACGTCAAAAACAAGCTTACGAAGTTGCAGGGCAAGACATTGAAGATATAAGCTTTTTAGTGAAAAGTGGAGTTTCGCCGTCCTCGGAAACCTTCGTCACCGTCCTGGACGGTTTTGGCATGCACTAGGACGTTGCCACTTCTGCCAATTAGGCTCTCATTGGTTTTGTGTGGAAATTTGGTTTGTGATCGGAAGGGATTTCCGGAGTCCACGCGTGCTCTTATTGTTTTGAACATTGAAGAAACGAATACATTGGAATTGGTCCTACCCAGAGAACCCACATGTCATGGTTGATGGGGGCAAATCTTGCAGATGTGGCACTAAAACCTACTAAACAAGTCATGGTGACTAAAAAGACAGGTCGCTTCTGACTTTATGCCCATATAAAACAACAAAATAAATTTAGGGACTGAATCGACCAACCTTAGAAACATTGTAGAGCATTTATGTCATTTCCTCTCTCTCTCTGTGTGTGTGTGTGTGTGTATATATATATATATATATATATATATATATGATGTAGTTTTAGTGGGGAGCAAACACTGAAGGAATAGAAGTGTGCGTCGATGAGCATGTTTTACTCATAAATGATAGTTTCAAATACCCAGGGTCTATGAATCATAAGGAAGAAGGTGTTGATGAAGACGTTACACACCACATAAATGTGGGATGGTTAAAATGGAGGGCATCGACATGAGTTTTGTTTGACAAGAAGGTGCCATTGAAACTAAAAGGAAAGTACTGCAGGGTGGAGATAAAGCTAACTTTGTTGTATAAATCTGAATGTTGTCCGATTAAGAAGGAAAATGAGAGGAAGATGGGTGTTGCAGAAATGAGAATGTTGCGGTGATTATGTGGTAAGGCGTTGTTGGACATGTTGTCGGACATGACAACTATGAATTCATTGGATGTGACATCAATCATCGATAAAATGATGGAAGGAGGATTATAGTAGTTTGGACATATCTATAAGAGACAACCATTTGCTATAATTAGGAAAGTGGAGACGATCTTGGTCGAGGGTGCAATGAGGAGAGGTTGGCCGACAAGGAAGTGAGAAGATAATGCTAGGTTAGGGATGAAGGAGTTAGCCTTCTCAGAGGACATGACTATAGACAGGAGAGTGTGGATGTTTGGAATAAGGGGTTGCAAATTAGTATTAGTGTAGTCTAAGGTCTAACTTCCTTTTTGTTTATGCATGGTTTCCGGTTCCCACATACTTATTGACGCTTTCCTATTTACTTTTAACATGAGTAGCTAGTATATGCTTTCGGCTTACTTCTTGTGTATTTATCCATGTTTTATTTGGTGTCTCTTTGCCCCCTTCGTGTGCAAATTTATTTCATTTACCGGTCTTTGTAGTTGGATACACAACACCGTATTATTTATCTCGGGCTAATGTTTTGTTTGCAAATTTCTTATGTATGATAGTGTGGGCGCACTTACAAATTAATACTAACAATAACTTATTATTTTATTTTTATATATTTGTATGCATTTTTTTTAATTTCTTTATGTCAGAGGTCTTTTACGGAAACGGTCTCCTAATCTTATAGTTAGGACTCTTAGCCATACTATCTCCACTTACACTATTTTTTTTGTTGGACTTGGAAAATATTGTTATTGTCACTTATAATCTAATACTCCATTCCATTCCATCAAAGAAAAATACTACTCCCAATGGAATAAAAATCAATCAAATTAGCCTGTATTTTTTTTTAATTTTAATTTATTTAACGCTCCATTCTACTTCATCGCTTTTTCTATTATGTAATTGATTTAAAAGCCACCAAAATTGGACTTAATTATTTGATGAAAATACATGCAACAAACAATTAAAGAATACAACTAGAAACAGCTTTTTCTATTATTTAATTGATTTAAAAGCCACCAAAATTGGACTTAATTATTTGATGAAAATACATGCAACAAACAATTAAAGAATACAACTAGAAACAACACGAGTAATTACATGTGTAAATTTTACATGTATTGCTCCAATCCCCATCTAAAAAGCTTCAAAGCAATCAACATGAACATAGGAAAGGAGATTCAAAAACCCTTACTGTCTACACATTTCCCCAAAAATACAATTTGCTTTCTCCTCCACTTAATAGAAAACAAAGGAGAGTTAGGCCCCGTTTGATACGCATCTTTCCAGGTCCAAACAGATCTTTCTGGCTGAATGGACCGGAAAGACTGTTTGATTTGCAAAAAAAAAAATGGTCTTTCCCGGTAAGATATGTCTTTCCCAGAAAGCTCCAAAATCATATCTTTCTGGCTGAATGGGCTGGAAAGACAATTATACACCAAACCCGACCTTTTTCTTTCTTTGTTGGATTATTAATTTTTTTAAATAACTTTTTTTAAATTTATTTTTTATTGACTTATTATTTTTTTTCATCATTCAGCACAGTCAATCAGATGTACAATCAAACAACATGATTTCTTTCTCAGTCAGAAAACTTTCCCAGACAACACTTTACCAGACAGAAACTATCAAACGGAACCTTAGCATGATTAAATTAATATATAAAAATATATATATATATATATATATATATATATATATATATATATTAAAAATGTCTTATGTTAGCAACAGTAAACTCTCAGCTTTTTTGTTTTTTTTGTCTATTTTGGTCCTTCTACTTTCCCTATTTCTCTTCCGTTTTTTATATATTTTTTGTTATTTGGCTGTTAAACGATTGTGTCAAATGGTTCTTTTTTTTTTTTTTTTTTTTTTTTGGGTCTGAACCATCATACAAAGTGCTACGTGCTGTGTTATGGGATCCAGATTTGCTACGTGTCACACCTACTCACGTCTACTATCGTAGTGGGCAATCTCATCCAACATGTTCTGGATGATGATCCACCGCCTCAATACAATGCTTAGATATCTTTCTCCCACTGTCTTTCTCATCTCCGGTCCTTCTCTACCTTCTACTTTCCTCCACCGCCTAAACCCAATTGATCTTCAAAAAACCCCCAGAAAATACTGATTCTTTAAATGTAGATTGTGAATGGAGTTCATCGTAAACCCCAAACCACAAACATGACCACCGGTCGCTACATTCTTATTTCCTTTTCCGTTTTTGATTTCTGCAGATTTTTCTACTGTTTATGGGATTCAGAAAGAAATTGATTGATGTTGTTCATAGGTATGTATTTTCTCTCTGTCTATATTAATTTCAATTTTGGAATTCCTTCTATTTTCTATTCACAAAACTTTTTGATTTTTGAGATTTATGAAATCTCTTTGATTATCAACCCAAGAGCTGATAACCTCAACTGTACATCGCCTAGAAGCAATTTTTTTTTATCAAAAATCCTAACATGAATCTTGATGGTAATGAAAAACGGCTTTTGAAGTCGTCTGCATGTGATGCTATCGTGCTCCTGCTCCCATCTTGAATGATTTTAAATTCATCGGGTAGTTTATCTTGTGATCTACTTCAATCGTAACAATATTAGGCAAATTTCGCATTCCGTAAAACTGTACTACTTTATTAGGTTATAACTTGGTATTTATGAAAATTCCTTCACCGCCTCATCTACTGCTCCTTTGTACCCTCTGCTCCCACCACCCACTATCTCAATTTACGTCTCCTCCACCGATTCCATCAATATCGGCAGGTGGTAGAAGGGGTTTTTTTATGTCGATTGTTTTTTGGTTCTGTTATCAGTCGTTGCTTCAGGTGTTCTTCAGCCGTCTCTTCCCGATCCTTCCAAGTCGGAGGCAAGGAACCGTTTCTTATCTCTACACTTTCTCCAACGCCACGATCTTTATGTCTCCTCCGCTTGATCTACTTCTCGCTACCTTTGTCTTCCAACCGAAGACCTCAGGAACGGTTTCGACACCGGTGCGTACAGATGGCCGCCACTGACCATCATTCTCTTCCAATGAAAATTCTCCACCGCCTTCATCGAAATACCCGTCCTCCACCACCGTTCTTTTTTTACTTCTCCTTTTATTCGCCTTTTTTTTTTCTATGTTTGTCTCTAGAAATTGAATCCTCTATAATCGTCTTTGAACTGAAAACCCTAGATGTTGAAGATGAAAGACGTCTGTTTTATAGAAAAAGATTGTAGGAATTAGGAACACCGCCAGAAAGCCTATGCGATGTAGAGGTAAGTTCTTAGACCCATGCTTCATCACTCGGATTACATGGTTTCAACTTATAACTAAAAAAAAGATTGAGAAGAAAGTGGATTTTGTAGAAAAAATAGATTTTTTTATGCCTGCTTCTCATTGATTCTCATGAAATTCAATATCTCTATTTCTGTTAATCTTACGGTTTTGGTGTTTTTCAGGGCTGAAGCACATGTTTCCCCCGAGAAGGATGTTTAAAACGACATAAATTAGGGGACGCTTAATGCTTTACAGCTCTATTCATCCTATTTTGATTGATTCTTTTTAGTTAATACTTTTTATTCGTTTGATGGCATCAGTGATTGGTTCCCTTTAATAAGATCAACATACAGGGCTAAAAGAGGTTAACCATCATTCTTCTTATCATTTATGCAGTTTTCTTCATGCAATTTGGGGACATCAGGAAGATTTGGATTGCAAGAAATAAGAAGGTTAGAACCTATACTTTCTTTTTACAAGAGAAGGGCGCAAGGTTGCTACTTTTGGTTCCATTATTTACTAAGAATTAACCGGAATAGAATTGTTATCAGGTTACACATTTTTTTTTCGCATTTTTACCTATAATGGCATTATAAACAAAAAAACTTACATTTTCTACCAAATATATAACTTAAAAGAATTCTAATCATTTTTATGCTTCTTTGTGAAGGTATGGGGGGAGAAATTGGGCAGAAATCTATGACAGATTCAATTTCATATTCCAGAACAAAAGTCGAAGTAAGTAATGATTGCTATTTTGGAATTTATATATATTAATTGTCATTTCTGTTCGGTTAACTACGGATCATAATCAAACAAGTTAGTTAATGAGGTTTCAAAACCACTGTCCACTGGGTTTTCAGTTTTGGTCTTGGTCGATAATGAGGTTGGATTATCATTTAACCGTTTTCTTCAATTCACCCCTTTGACAATGTGGCATAAAAAGGATATTTATTTTATCATATCTACACTTTGTTATAAACATAATAAATTTAGTTCTTGCAGCCTTTTGCGAGAACCATTTAAATCTTTACCTCTTATTTGGACCATCCATGAAAAAACACCAGGGAACTTGACTCCACTGCTGATGCATCAGAAGTCTAGATGGCATACCGGGAAACAACACTAAAATATTATTCTGATAAGGTCCGATTTTTATAAAAAAAATTATACATAACTTTTTTTTTTTTTTTTTTGAAAATATGCCTAAATATAACCTTGTAATTGCCAAATTTAGCAGTGTACTTTCTTTCTTTTAGAGCAGGCAAACATCAAAGATTGTATTTTCAATTTAGTCATTGAAAAAAATAGCACTCACTTAGATCATTGTTCCCTCCTCTGCTTAATCACGACCCACCTATAATTTTGGTTACATGTGCTCTTTATATGTTTATTTCTGAAGTATTGTAGCTTCCTTTTAATATCAATTGTTGGTTTTTAGTGGTTATTTTTGAAGGATTTCAAGAAGAAACATAGAAGCAGCAAGCTAGAGAAGCCAATTTCAGGAAGAGGGAAGAGGTACTCAAGAAATGTTGTCTACATATATGTTTATCATAATGTAAATATATTTTTAAATTGGTAATCACTCATAATAGTAATTACATGAGTAGTGAGCAAACCAATGACTGAAAAACTACATTTTTTTAACAGATAGACAAAAATCTCCAAATACACAAATAATTCACTGCAATTATTAGATTCATAATATAATAGTTTAGCACATACTAATCCCCATTTTTCTTGATGTTTATTTGTTTTGGTTACGATATTTAAGGCCGAGTTTTTTATTTTTTTGACTTTTTAATTTTAATGTTTGCAAGGTTTTAAAACCTACACACCAGATTTGATATCCAAGAATATTCTTGAAATGTGTTCCATCTTGCTGGAGTTGATAGATGATGTGTCTTCTGTTAAGTGCAATTTCATAAGCGATTCCATGGTGTATTTTGACCTTATTTATGATGATTGTTCATTCATCAAAGCGCATAAGCATATTATGATTATTGTATTAAAGGAGGTGTATTGACTAGCTTACCATCTCATGCTATAAGTGGGTATATTTTATTATGCCATCAAATCTAGGTTTTTGGAATGTTCACATTTTAAAGTTGGTTGCTACTTTAAAGTTTTCTTGACCATAAATTTATAGAAACCAATTTTAATTTCTCAAAACAGTTGTATTTATATTCTAAAATAGCAATGAACTTTAAATTTAAACCTTCCCTGACCCGTAGCGAAGCAAGGGCTCCCTTTCTAGTTCTTATTATAAATGATCAATATTATACTTAATTTTTTTTTTTTTTTTTTTTTTTTTTTTTTTATAATTATTCTGTAGTTTTGCATCAACTAACTATTCCCTTCTTCTGTTACCGTTTCTTCTTTGTCTGTGGTACCAGTACCACCATCATCAGTTGCAGCTTCATCCATGGCTGGATTTCCCTCTACTTCTTCTGTTGCAACAGTGGGTTCATCTGGTGGTCTATCGTCTTCATTAACTTTAGCCTTCTGTAATAAGCTCCAGTACATAATGCTTGCTGTTAGGATCAAAATCATCTTCGGGTTAACCTGTCAACAATTAAAATTCGTAGTTGATGATGATGATGATGATGATGATAATGACACAACTTGTAAAGTTGTAATACAAAAGGACTCAATAGCAGTATTAAAATGATGTTACCTCGAGAATATCTTCAGGCAATAAGAAGATAGAACACCCCAGTTTTCTTGCAACACTAATTATATACGTTGCGTTTAACTTCTTATCCTCCTCTGTAATAAATCCAAACAAAAAAAAATGTTTATTTTCTCAAATTATTGCATCAATGGAATGAAGTTGTGAAAGTTTAAAAATTACCGGTCTCGCCCTTGGTAACAAGACCCCAGTTTACCACCCTCTTTTCCACTGCACTAAGAAGCTCAAGAAAGAAAATACCATCTGATAGGCGTTTATCCTGAATAGTTGCAAAGTTTATAGTTAATTAATATGATGAAATGGGATTATAAGAAAGAATGGAGTTAACAATATAATAGAATGTGCATGGTAAAAAAAAAAGCTTCATTTATTTATTAGAGAGGATTATAAATTAAATTGATAAATTAATAAAGAAAAAATGTTGTCACGTAAAATTAAGCTTCAATCAAATAAAGATATATAGTGAAATAAATTGCATATAAACATATTTCATGAGGTGATTTTTTTTTTATTCTTTGAAACAGTTTTTAATTTTTTTAGTGATAAAAAAATACCATGCAATCTCAAAATAGAATTACAATAGAAGAAATTACCTTCCACAACATTCGTTGTATGATGATAACTAAAATGTTTTAATTTTCTTATGCCATTTTAAATAATGAATTATTTTTATATTCAAAAAAAAAAAAAAAAACTAAGAAGTTTTTGATTTTTTTTTTCTAAAAAACATAGGTTATTAAAGATAATATAAGTAAAAGAAATTTATAATGCTTCATTCCATTCCATTCCCTCTTTTATTAATGCATATCAAAACACTAGTAACTATTCATGGGTATGTTTGGCTTACCTTGAAGCTATCCATGTGTCCTGATTTCCCTGTATCTTTCACTTTCTTGTTTGCCCATTGTAAAATATCAGCATCCGTTATTTCCTTTCCATGTCCATGAGTTCTTAAGTTTTTCAAGAGTTGAAGCATGCTAAATCTCATCAACTGCCATAAGAAAGCTGGGTGCATGCAATAATATCCAAACCTAATCACTAATTTCCTTCTTTTCTTCATCATACACAAGTATTTAAACATAACGCAAGAATAAAAAAAAAAACACAAACCTATTATAAGCTTTTTGTTTCCTGCAACAATGTCATTCCCAGCAACATTCACAAGAGAAAAATTTAATTCCTTTCCAATGCTTACAACTTGATTGCAATTTTCAACTTTTCTAAACGGCATTTTAATCGGAGGTTTGTTTGCTAGCCTCCATGTAACAGACCCTGGTGCAAGTTTATCAAGAACTTCCAAAAGAACCCATCTGTACAACAACACAAAAGAAAATATTAAAAACGTTAATTTTTAATTTCCAACAATCCTTGAGTGAGTATACTGACTATAACAAATGAGAGAACCAACCCGTCTCTGATATCCTCCCACACATTGTTAACATGTGTTTCAACTCCAAGACTGTTTATCCACATTCGGAAACATCTTTCTTCCCTTGATGTGGTTTCATCATCCGTCATCATTTCAGCAAGCACATTCGTAGTCTTTGCTTTATCTACTTTAAGCCCATTCCTGTTAACAAATTACATGCGGTTATACTTTTTACCAAAGGTAAAAGAGAAAATCACATAATTAAATAACCACTTCTACAGGTGACCTTAACAAATTGACCAAACTTTTTTCTTTTAACACAAATGATCACATATTTTGCAATGGGCCATCGTGCCTACAGCAAAATCGATTTCATTTTTGGTTGTGTGAATTGAATCATTCAAAAAACAATTTCATAAAGTGATTTTGCACCGGACCCATTACGAAATATGTATCATTTGTATAAAAAGCAAAAGAGTTGGTTGTTTTGTTCTAAAAATGGTTATTTTTGGGATTTTCTCAAGATAAAAACGTATTTTTTTGTGCATGAAGTAACAGGACCATACCTTTGATGGAATATTTGGGCAACAAATGCAAGATTTAAATTTGTAGATCCTTCCACGATATCCTTCGATGTAACATATCTTTTACAATCAAGTTTCTCAGCTTGCTCAATAATCAATTTTGCTCTTTCTGTTGGATCTTTTGTCTCCAAAGTTTTAGTGCTTCCGTGTTCGGGAGCAAGAACATTGAGTAAATGAGCGTACGCCTCTCCATCCTACAAGCCAAGATATTTAGATCAACTATTAGTATTAATCGAATGTTTGAGCATTATATGTATATTTGAATAGTATAGGGGCTTGTTGTGTAATTCTCCCATACCTTTAGATCGGACGAAAAGTTTGTAACTTCTTTCTTGTAGCCTGTTTTTTTTAACTGGTAATTCATCCATTTCAACAGAACTTTTTCGGGGGCCAAACTCATGAGCTCTTCTGCTTCCTGTCATTCAACATTGTAATATCAAGTAAGTAAAATAAACCACAAATTTTATTAGATAACACAAACTTTGTAAGAAATCAAACAATATATCAATCACCTTACTATCTTCAACCATTTCGGCCAACTCAGGAGTTTTCTTGAAATCAACATCGGCTAGAAGTTGTATCTGAAAATGTCAAAGATTAAGTTAGAAAGATAAACTATGAATTAGTCAACAAAAAAGAAAAAAAAAACATTGATCATTACCTTAACTATTTGAGAAATCAACCCGAGTAATAGGTGAGGCTGTCAATATGAACCAAAAAAGATTAATAACTTGAATTTACATCTTTTGAACTCATAATTCCATCAACTTACTCTTCCTTCAGCCAAATCCTGTGTGCCAATGTTGACAACAGTGCAGCCTATAGCCTTTGCAGAATTGAGGCAAAGAGTATGATTTTCGTTTCTTTCCCATGGATTAAGAACTTTTTTAGTGTTAATGGCACGTTCATCTATTGTACCAGGGACGGCTATATTAATCAGCTTACTACAAAAAAACGCTTTCACAAATCAATGAAAAGCATTGTTCTAAAAAGAAGAGTTTATGGAAGAAAAGAAAGAACATTTAGTTGTTGATACCATAAAAGAACTCCATCTTTGGCTAGATCGAATAAAGCATTGGTGGCAGCGTCTATAGGAAGAAAGTCCTTTAAAAACTTGTCTTCTCCTAGAAAATTGTTAATGTGGTTAACATATGAAGCTTTTTCTGTCTCACTAATGCTATGGCGAAGGGTGGTTGCACCGGACTTGACAAAAGATGAAGTAGTTCTGAAAGTTTTTGAAGTACCCAATTTTGCACTTGCTCGAGCTTGTAAATTTAAATATACCTATAATCATCATAAAATGAAAATGATAACTTCATTCATATATACATACCAACTAAAGAATCAAGATCCAATTCCATAAGGCCCCATTTGTTACACTAGACATGACAAATGATCTTGTAACTAGGACTGAGACTGATGTTAATGAGACAAAAACTGTCTACCCAAAAAGGTGGGACAAGAGTGTCTAACATGTTTGATGCTAATGCAACAAAATTTGTCTCATACAAAAAGATGGAACAAGGTGAGACAAGACTGTTGTCTGTGCAAAAGACATGAATGTCTTGTTCATTCTCAAATAGAAAATAGTTATTCTCAAATAGAAAATAGTTCTGGGAAGTTTGTCTAGTCTTGTGTAACAAATGTAGCCTAAGGGATGGTTTTCGACTCACCCGAAGGAACCCCTCAAAATCCAAATCTTTGGCCAAATCACTATAAGAGTCACCTAGCATACGTGAGACCTCATCTTGGCTTGATACTTCATTGAAGGGCTTTAATTTTGCCAAAACTGGCGGTAAATCTACTATTTTGACTGTGCCGGCTTGATTTCTTGCTGAAATAAACTATATAAACAAGATCCGAAATGAGCCAATTTGATTATGTTGAATTTAAGAAGAAACGTAAAAAAAAAATTAAAATGGCATACTTTGGTTCTAAGTTTACGAAGCTCCACTTGTGTGAATTGGCTCTGAAGCCATGGATCATTGACAAAGACACCCTCGAATGTAGACATCTTTGGCTTGTTTCCACAATTGAGAAAATCTTGAAATATATCAACGACAATTAAACAATCAGATGCGTTAATCGCAAAGAACCCAGATGAACCAATATGCATATAATCATTCAAGAAAATAGCAATCTACGCGAAGGTGGTCATATGGATATATATCATTGTGTTCAAGAACAAACATTACAAGATCGAACTGTTACCATCAAGAAGCACAAGATTCAAGAAATTACAGATGGGATGAAAAAAAAAGCAAATAGCAAAACCTTAATAAGATTGATCATGGATCAATAATCCATGTTGAAGAAGCCGGAGAATCGACGTAGGGTTGCTGATTGGTACGTTTCGGTGATTTTGTTTATGTGAATGGAAAAAGATGGAGGGGGAGTGCATAGAGAGAGGAGAGAAAATCGTATTGTCTGTTGGACCCGCGTAAACTTGGGAAATGAAAATCGAAGAGAAGGTGGTGGTGGTTTACGATTGTGATTTGTATCGTCGTCTTATTAACATGGGGTGGGGACTTGCCCATTTTGAGTGCCAAAATTATCGCTTTGGGCAAATTATAAAATCACTCCCTTAATTTAATCACAAACTTCATCTTTTAATTTTCTCAATGTCATCCTACGTAATTAATTCGTTTCCAAAAAAAATAGTGTTTATTATTTAAAAAAAAAGGACAATTAGAGATTTATGTTACTATCAATACAAACACTAATTTTTTCTTATTTCCTCTCTGTCCTAAAACAAACCCCTTCTCTTCCTTTTGGCATTCATCGACCATCACATAACAAGGAAGAAAGGCGCCATGCTTGATTTCTTTATTAGAGTCTATAACAATTATTTGCGTTGCTCATGTGGATACAAATAGAGGTGGTCATCATTTTTTGTCATAGTTTCTACACTAAAAGATATCCATTTAAACCTAAGGTAAAATCAACAACCCTTTGTGGTTGTGTAATTTGGTTACTCATGTTTGATCCAAAATGAAATTTCTTATGAATTAATTTTAAACAATATTTTGTGGTGTGTCATTTGTTTCCTATATCCATTAATTCTCAATAATTATACCAGAGCTTTTATTGAATCTCTTTGATTTCCTTATTGATCTTTTCTGATTGTTCATCGTCATCCATTTTGATGATGTTTGGTAATTATCAAAATATTTCATTTTTAAATATCTTAGAAATTCGATTTTTTATGGTTTGAATTGAATTTGAGTTGTTGAGGTATGTTAATTTTATAAAAAAAATTCACATGCAAAGACTTTATAAAAAAAGATATTTAAAACTTTTTTTCATTTTGATGTATATTGGTTTTTTACATTTTCTTTTTTTGATTGAACCTTGTGGTTGTTGACTTTATGTAACGATTTTTTGTGTTTTAAAGCCTTGTCATTATTATAACAAGTTAGGATTTTCAATTGTATGTTCTAGGTTTTTCCATCATAAATTAGAATAGGTTCTATTTTTAGTAATATAAAAATATACAATAAGAAGACCCGAATACTACAACCCTAAATATATCATTGGTGGACCTCTCAACCAAATAATCAAACAACACAAAGGTATCCTAGACTCCTAGTGCTTGGTTAATCTTTGGCCGGTAGCCTTGGCGCAACACTTATGGATACAGCTATCAATGGTTCCTAAGAGAAGACACAAACGACAGACCGTGGTGTATGACAAGCCTAGCGGAAATGCTTAACGGGTTTTCTTTTGATCATTTTTTGTTACCTACTCGGAGCAAAAATTGGTTTTTGTTCTCTTATTTTTTATCAATCAATTTTATGTTGACTAATAAAATTGTTATGGATTAGGGCTTGGGCAATAAGTGGTGTTGTTGTTGTTGTTTTATATGATATGGACTATATGTATTTTTAATATTGTTTAGAAAACACTAAAATTGAGTTTTGTGATGAATTGTCTCAGAATTATAAAATTATTTTTAAAATTGGTTTTAACTTTTTTAGATTAGATTTTTGATTAAGAAAAACTGTTTTAACGACATAACGTAAATTGTTTTAACAAGTAGTATAGACGGATTCTTTTTTTTTTTTTGAAAGAGCAGTGTTGACGGATTCTTTGTATGCATACAAAATTTTTATAACACTAAATTTTCGTACAGCAATGATTATACAAATAGAACACTTTTATTAAATTTTGTAATTCAATCGTTAGAACAATTGCATGTGTAGCTTAAGCTATATTATAATTACGTGGCCAATTTTGGGTCCATGTAAAACCTAAGCAAAAATTTACGATTCTAAATTGGAGGATTTAACTATATAGGACCGTGTTGTGACCTAACCACAGGAAAAATGTCGAGACTAAACATGTCAGTTAGACACCGATAACAGGCTCCTTGATCCTCAAAAGACAATTACATAAGAATATATAGAGAATACCTAAATTCTAATGGCTAAACCCTAAAGGGCTTGGGTCTAAACCTGATCAATCACTAACATTCTCTCACAGTTTGATCAGGAGGAGACGATTAAACTGGAAAAATAAACAAAAAAATAATAAAATAAAACATAAAAACTAGATGAAGATAGTGGCAGCAGCGATGGCAGAACTCTGACGATGGCGGCTAACATCGACTGCTTGTCGGAGAAGAAGAGAGAAGAATCGGCAGCCAGAGGCGGTTCCATTGTAGAAGAAGAGAAGAGCAACGACGACGACGATCATGCAATCAACGGTAGAGGAGTCCGGAGAAAGGCAGCGAGAAAAAAAGATGGCTCGAGCTACGGCGAACGGAGCAAATTTCAGGGAGATCGATGATTGCAATGTTGATAGAGAAAGAGACGAATGCAGATTAGAGACTGCCCTAATGGAGAAGGTGTCATTGGAGAGACGCGACATCAACGGATAAGGTGTCATTGGAGAGAGGCGGCATTAACATTAGAAGGGGTTGCATCGAAAAAGAGAACTAAAGAAGTGGCTAGTTGAGGAGGAGACAGAAGGCGAGGAGGCAAAGGTCATCTGAGAAGGAGGTAGGTGGTAGAAGTAGACGAAGCAATAGAAGAAGCTAATGAAAGGGATCTGGTTTGCTGCCAATGACCGTTTTATTATTTAGGCGGGGAATTGAAGAACCGCAAAAATATGCAACATAATGAAGGCACCTCCGAAGACTATTAGAGAAGGTCGCCGGAGGTGGAGGGCGGCGGCTACGGGTTGTGGTCAGAAGTAAGGTTTTAACCTAGACTTTGATACTATATAAGATAATAGATTGTTTGATCCTCAAAAGACAATTACATATGAATATATAGAGAATACCTAAACCCTAGTGGTTAAACCCTAAAAGGCTTGAACCTAAACCCTAATCACTAACACCGATTACATCTCATAAAAGATTTCAGAGTTGTATTAGTAATGTAATTGGAACCCGTTATTTATCGATTAAACTTATTATTATGTATATAATCAATAAAACATCATAATAAGCTTTAATGCAGATCTTAGCCTTTATTAAATTAAGTTTTTATACATATAATGATGATTAATTCATAAAAGATTAAAAATTAATAATAATAAAAAAACTAAAATGAACTTTTATTTATTTCGTCGATATCAATAAAATCCGTAAACTAATTGTCGCTGTGTTCTTTGTTGGAAAGTAGGAAATTTAATGTTGTTAACATCGGTGAATGGTATCATGACTTGAGGATTATCCTCCAATATAAAAACAAATTGTACATCCTTTGGAAACCATTTCTTTTACGACCATCTAATTGATTCGTCAAAAGATGAAGTAGTTCGGAAAGTTTTTGAAGTCCCCAAATTGTATTTGCTTGTGATTGTAAATTTACATATACATATTATCATCAAATGAACCCTATTCCCTAGCAACTATCCTTTTGTAGATGTTTTTCCTAAAAACAAACCCTAAAAAATCGTCATCTTTTTGTTAGAAACCATATTGAACATGGATGAAACAATCCGTTTATAAATTGAGATTTTTGGTGGTCAGTCACTTTAATCACCCGTTTCCAGTGGTTTGCCACTTTTAGTAAGTCATTGCATTCACAAATATGAAACATGTTCAACATATCCTTATGGGAAGAAAGGTGTGACGTTTGATATTGAATGGTTTTAGTAAAGTGGGTTTGATTTTTATCGTTTGGTTAAACTATGTTTGAATTTAGGGTTTGTGAAAGACAAATGGAAAAGATAAAGGGCAAGCAATTACAGACGGGGGGCTTTAAACTCTTTCTGGTGACCCTCACATTTGGGTGTATATGGGAACTTCATCTATAACCTCTTGATTTGGTGTAATCGATCACTAGGTTTTGGAGAGAAAGAGATAAAGACAAAAGGGTGAGAGAGATAGCGAGAATAAGGAAGAATATAGTGGTAGGTAGGGATGCAAGTGGGTCCTATGGATCTGTAACTGAAAACCAAAAAATGGAATTTAATAGAATAGAAACCGGATCGGTATATAGAAATTGGTTCTGGTTTAGTTCTGGGTATGAGGCTAAGTAAAATAGGTCTAAAAGCGGAAAACCCAGAAATATCAAAGTGAGTAGGGTAAAAATGGGTAATATAGGTCTAGAAATGGAAAACCTAAAATCCGGAAAAACCATAATTTTTTGGTACTTGCTTAGTGGGTTAATATCTTTATTGGTTTGATATCTTTATTTTATAACAAGTCAAAATACATCTTATTCATGGAATTGAGTAATATTAGACTATCAAATTCAACCTTTATATTGGTTTGAACTTTGAAAATTTCTAGATTTGTTATCCCGACTTCAAGCGACTGTAAGTGTAACATCCCAAATTTCAAGACCAAAAATTTCATTTTTAATTTAAAGATTCATAAAACAGATTACTGAAAATGCCATCAATGTTATCTCATATCATGAAAAGCATAAGTTAACCATCTCAAAAACATATCATAGGAAAACAATTTCAGAGTACAAATCCCAAGAATCTCATGTGCGTAAAATCGTGTGTGCGATGCGCTGCTATCGTGCCAGCTCCTTTCCCTTCGAAGAAGAAGGACCTGAAACAAAAACTGAAAACTGTACGCACAAAACTTAGTGAGTTCCCCCATCATACCACATACCATATAATAACATACTGTCTAACATGTCCGAGTACTAGACTACCCCTTCGGTCTCTTTCAACCTGTAACTGCCTAGCATATCAGGGTGTTGGCCTACTCCTTCGGTCTCTTTCAACCGGTAACCTGCCTAGCATATCAGGGTGCTGGCCTACCCCCTACGGTCCTTTCGACCGGTACCGGGGACTATTTCACCCCTACTTCTACCATATAGCATCCTGGTACATAAACACATAAGTCATATACTGCCTAGCTTATCAGGGTGCTGGCATACCCCTTCGGTCCTTTCGATCGGTACTGGGGCCTATCCTACCCCTCCCATTACTATCACATAATATCATATCATACTAGCACATAAAGCATAACAGATAGTGGAATACCAGATAATTATCACAAAGACAATCATCTCTACTATAACTCTTACTAGTGTGCCGACATTGGTGCCTTTGACCCACTTCTACTGGAAGGTAACTCACCTCAAATGTCGTGTAGTAGCTGAACTGTCCTCGGCTCTGGGATCAACTCCTCTCAAACCCCTACACATAAAAATCTCCTTTAATTACCCTTTCATACCCATACCCCCTTTAAGGGTCAACTATGATCAATGGTCAAAGTCAAAGTCAATATCCAAGTCAAAGTCAACATCCTGGTTGACTCAACTTGGCGAGTTGGTCCGTCAACTCGTCGAGTTCCATGATCCATAAAACCCTGGAAATCTCGATCCAACTCTTCGAGTTCTTTCATGAACTCGTCGAGTTCCTCCTAATAACAGAGTCGAGGCATTTCACACACAACTCCCCGAGTTCCTCCTTGAACTCGTCGAGTTCTTCAATCTTCAAAACCAAAAAAAACCATGGCCAACTCGCTGATTCATCTCCTAGACTCGACGAGTTTGCTCAGTAACATAAAAGGTTGGGGGACCACGACCCAACTCCCCGAGTTGGATGAACAACTCGTCGAGTCCCCCTTGGTCTAAATCCATTCAGTCACTTCCAATCGAGTTCAATGCTTCTAAACCATAGATCTGGTCCCCTAGGACTCAGTTACCACGTAAAGTTGCTAACTTTACGTTCATGCATGGTGTCATGAAGCTAGAAACACCAAAACTAAGCTATATAAGAGATCTAGGGCATGGGGAACGGCCAAGGCTTGATAAAGCTGGCAACTTTAAGCCTCATAAGCTCATGAGTGCCTAGATCTGAAGTCACAACTTCATGATACACTCAAATCCCGAAAATAACTTCAATATGGCCCAAAAGTGACAAAATACAACCCTAAATGAAGATCTAATCAATAGAAAGCCAAGGTATCAACTTTATACTTCAAATGAGTCAGAAATGCAGCTCAAATTCCGGATCTACTGACTTCCTCTTGAATCCTCAAGTTTCTCCTTCCTTCTCAAGCTTCAAAATCACCAAGAACACACAATAATGTCTCAAAACACTCAAAAGTGGATTAGGGTTTCATGGCTAGGGTTTGGGGTGATGGAGGCTGCAAGTGAGGCCAACCTTTGGAGGTTAAGGTGTTTAAATAGGGTGCAAAACCTTGAAAATTAGGATTTCACTCTGGCAGCCCTACTCATCGAGTTGAGGTTCTCAACTCGTCGAGTAGACTTCAAGTCCCGCGTCTAAATTCCATTCCTACTCGACGAGTTTGGGGCCTCCAACTCGTCAAGTCCCTTTGCAAAAATGAATAATTTGATTTAAAATACATACCAGGATCCGGGCGTTACAAATCCCCCCCACTTATTTTAGACTTCGTCCTCGAAGTCTGCTGCGTCTGGGAATAGCTCTGGGTAGTGCTCCCTCATCTCGTCCTCCGGATCCCAGGTCCATTCTGAGCCCTTGCGGTGCTGCCATTCCAACTTCACCAACTCAACCCTCTTGTTTCTCAGATCCTTCGTCTTCCTGTCGAGGATGGCTACCGGTCGCTCGATGTAGTTCAGGCTGTCATCCAACTGAATATCCTCTAGAGGCACCACTATAGAGTCATCTACCAAGCACTTCCACAGCTGGGAGACATGAAAGGTGTTGTGGATCTGACTAAGCTCGACTGACATCTCCAGTCGATACGCAACTCGGCCCACCTGGGCCAAAACCCGGAACGGACCAATGTACCTGGGGCCCAAATTGCCCCGCTTCCTGAACCGGATGACACCTTTCCAAGGTGACACCTTCAGGAGAACCATATCTCCTACCTGAAACTCAAGGTCTGAACGGCGTTTGTCGGCATAACTTTTCAGCCGACTCTGAGCAGTCTGAAGCCTGCTCTGGACCTGTTGGATCCTCTCTGTCGTCTTGAGTACCACTTCGGTACTCCCTATGACCCTCTGTCCAACCTCACCCCAACATATCGGGGTTATGCACTTCCTCCCATATAACATCTCGAAGGGAGGACGGTCGATGCTCGCGTGGTAGCTATTATTGTAGGAAAACTCTGCCAAGGGAAGGTAAGTATCCAAGCTACCACCCAAGTCTAATACATATGCCCACAACATGTCCTCCAAGGTCTGGATGGTCCGCTCACTCTGACCATCCGTCTGGGGGTGAAAAGCCGTACTAAAATGCAGACGAGTACGGAACTCGTCATGAAATTTCTTCCAAAATCTGGAAGTGAACCGTACATCTCGATCAGAAATCACAGAAACTGGCACTCCGTGTCGAGCTACCACCTCTCGGATGTAGATGTCGGACAGCTTCTCGGCCGAAATGCTCTCCTGGATCGGGATGAAATGGGCACTATTGGTCAACCGATATACGATGACCCAAATCGAATCCACTCCCCGTACGGTCCTGGGAAGCTTCGTGATGAAATCCATAGTAATATCCTCCCACTTCCACACAGGGATATCCAACGGTTGTGTCTTGCCGTGAGGCCTCTGGTGCTCTGCCTTGACCTTCCTGCAGGTCAAGCATCTCTCAACGTACGAGGCTACATCCCGCTTCATGCAGGGCCACCAGTAATCAGGAAAAAGATCTCTGTACATCTCCGTCGCCCCAGGATGGATGGAAAATCTGGACTTATGCGCCTCCTCCATCAGGATTTGGCGCACACCGCCTGCGTACAAAACCCACACTCTGTGGTGAAGTGTCAACAGTCTGCGGCTAGTGTAACGCCCGCAGATTTGGGCTAGTCAATTTAGAGACAATGAGCGTCAAAATGACTTTTTGATGGAAGATTATTTAGAAGGATTAATCTTAACCAAGTTATAGTATATGTCACAAGGGTTCCGTACATAAAAATAACGCCGAAATCCGAGTTATAACGAAGAAGTTATGACCCGTCGAAGTTTTACGGCAAAACCGGCACGACACCGGGAATCGTAAAAAGTGAATTTACGATAAAATACTTTCTAGCCTTAGCGATCTAAACGAAAGTCGTAGTATATGTTAACCGAGAGTGTGCATAAAAAGAACGTCCAAATCTGACTTCGTATGAGGAAGTTATGATTTTTCTAAGATTTAACATATGAAGCTTTTTCTGTCTCACTAATGCTATGGCGAAGGGTGGTTGCACCGGACTTGAAAAAAGATGAAGTAGTTCTGAAAGTTTTTGAAGTCCCCAATTTTGCACTTGCTCGAGCTTGTAAATTTAAATATACCTATAATCATCATAAAATGAAAATGATAACTTCATTCATATATACATACCAACTAAAGAATCAAGATCCAATTCCATAAGGCCCCGTTTGCTACACTAGACAGGAAAAACGATCTTGTACTACATGTGGAGTACATTGAACTAGGACTGAAACTGATGTTAATGAGACAAAAATTGTCTCACCCAAAAAGGTGGGACAATACTATCTGACATGTTTGATGCTAATGCAACAAAATTTGTCTCATACAAAAAGATGGAACAAGGTGAGACAAGACTGTGTCTTTTGCGTGTACAAAAGACATGAATGTCCTGCTCATCCTCAAATAGAAAATAGCTCTGGGAAGTTTGTCTAGTCTTGTGTAACAAATGTAGCCTAAGGGACGGTTTTCGACTCACCCGAAGGAAGCCCTCAAAATCCAAATCTTTTGCCAAATCACTATAAGAGTCGCCTAACATGCGTGAGACCTCATCTTGGCCTGATACTTCATTGAAGGGCTTTAATTTTGCCAAAACTGGCGGTAAATCTTCTATTTTGACTGTGCCGGCTTGATTTCTTGCTGAAATAAACTATATAAACAAGATCCGAAATGAGCCAATTTGATTATGTTGAATTTAAGAAGAAACGTAAACAAATTAAAATGGCGTACTTTGGTTCTAAGTTTACGAAGCTCCACTTGTGTGAATTGGCTCTGAAGCCATGGATCATTGACAAAGACACCCTCGAATGTAGACATCTTTGACTTGTTTCCACAATTGAGAAAATCTTGAAATATCTCAACGACAATTAAACAATTAGATGCATTAATCGCAAAGAACCCAGATGAACCAATATGCATATATAATCATTCAAGAAAACAACAATCTACGCGAAGGTGTTCATATGGATATACATCATTGTGTTCAAGAACAAACATTACAAGATCGAACTGTTACCATCAAGAAGCACAGGATTCAAGAAAATACAGATGGGATGAAAAAAAAAGCAAATAGCAAAACCTTAATAAGATTGCTCATGGATCAATAATCCATGTTGAAGAAGCCGGAGAATCGACGTAGGGTTGCTGATTGGTACGTTTCGGTGATTTTTTTTATGTGAATGGAAAAGATGGAGGGGGAGTGCATAGAGAGAGGAGAGAAAATCGTATTGTCTGTTGGACCCGCGTAAACTTGGGGAATGAAAATCGAAGAGAAGGTGGTGGTAGTTTACGATTGTGATTTGTATCGTCGTCTTATTAACATGGGGTGGGGGACTTGCCCATTTTTAGTGCCAAAATTATCGCTTTGGGCAAATTATAAAATCACTCCCAATTAGAGCACCTGGCATGGGCCTGCACAAGGCCGTTAACGTGGCTCGGCCATAAGGGAGAAGGGAGTCTTTCCCTTCCAACACACTGAACCCACTGCCACATCAGTTTTTCTTTTTCATTTTTCTTCATCTTTTCCAACCCACAACACACGAAACCCTATCTTTTTCAACTCACTCAACCCATTCAATTAAAAATACAAAACGATCAAGGTAAATTCTTTATTAGCAATAGAGTTACTACAGGTACCACTCCGGGTTGTTTAATTGGTTTCACTAACCCACTTCATCCTCTATCTCTCTACTTTCTCTCTCTCATTTTCTCTTGTACCATGTATTTTAAAACTTGTATCTTAGTTGTTTTGTATTTTTTTAATTGAATGGGTTAAGAAAGATATGATTTCCGTGTGTTATGAGTTGGGAAAGATGAAGAAAAAGAAGAGACAAAAATTGATGTGACAGTGGGTTCAATGGTTTGGGAGCGAATGACTCCCTCCTCCCTAACGCGATCATAACGAGATGAACACCCCTCCCCCCTCACCTTCTCGTTGTCACTCGTTGCATTGTTTCTTGTGGGCGTCTTGACCGGATGAAACGAGCCAAAAAAATGGACCGTTTGGAAATTAGATCGTTGTCAAACGGTCAAATTCAAATAAAAAAAATTACTTTTTTATTTTTACTATAAATACAACACATTAACTCATTTTTTTTACACATTTCTCATTTTCGCTCTATATTTTATAAAATCTCATACTTTCTACAACAAAAAATGGATCAAAACCCAAACACACAACCAAACACAACCTCGCCTCACGGATTTGCCGGTTACGAAAATTATTTCAACATTTTATCATCTCAATGATCACCACAAATCCCATACCAAGGAGCCTCTTTCAATTCCGCTTCACCACCACTGCAATTTCCTAACTCACCTTACCTTCAACAAAATCTTTTTGGCTAAAACCCAAATTGCAACAAAATCTTTTCCCGACTTTCTCTTTGATGCAACAACAACCACCCAACCACCACTACCAACACAACCACCACCTCCAATACAACCATCGGTCGAAACACAAATGGGAGGTAGTAGGAGAGGGAAAAGGAAAGGAATAGGGAAAGGGAAAACTTTAGCGGTTGAAATGGAAAGTAAGGAAGTTCCACAATGGTGGACTCCAAAGGAGGAATATGCTTTGACAGTGACATGGTTTATTACTTCAAAAGATGAATTTTGCGGTAATGGTATGAAGAAAGGTGCTTATTGGGGGCGGTGCTCGAAAAATTCCGTGCTATGTTAAAGAAAAAACTGTATCGCAATACGGACATGCTAAGCAGCAAATGAAGTCAAGTAACTAAGTGGTGCACAAAATTCAGTGGTATTTACACCGGGCTTCAGGCGCAACAACAGAGCGGAGCAAACGACTTTGATTTGTTCAAATCTGCAAAACAACAATATCGGGTCGAAATGGGACATGTGTTCGAGTTCGAGAAATCATGGGAATTGCTGCGAGTGGATTCAAGGTGGAATAAAACTCCTACATCATCGGAAGTTCAATCCAAGAGGTCTCGAAATTCAAGCCCGTTGAACGTGTCGGACGCACGGACTCACATTGACCTAAATGACGACATCGATGGGATCCCGAATGATATCGATGAGATCTCCCCACCACGACAACTGTCCAGACGTGAAAAAGCGAGACGCACTGCAAGGCATACGGAGGATCTTGAGGCGAAAGCAAAAGATGCAGCGGAAATGAAAGCGAATTGATGAGCATAATTTAGACAAAACTTCAAAAATGGTCCCTGTGGTTTCCGAAAATCTGAAGTTTAGTCCCTAATTTTTAAAAACCTCACAGATGGTCCCTGTGGTTTCAAAACTTTTAACAAATGGTCCTTTTCGCTAACTCCGTTAGCTTTTGGCCGTTAAGTGAAGGGCATTTCTGTCTTTTCACTACCACAGGGACCATTTATGAAGTATTGCCCTTATTTAAAAAAATGATAATAATAATTATTTAATATTAAAGGTCCCACTCTCTCTCTCTCTCTCTCTCTCTCTCTCTCTCTTTCTCTCTCTCTCTGTCTGTGTGTGTGTGCGCACACTTTGACTATAAAAAAAACTAAACCCAGGAAACAAAAACATGAGACCCAACCTGATTCTCAATGTTCATCATTCTTCCTCATTAATCATTATCCCCCAGAAATTGACAAATCCTACTTGTTCTTGAATCCACAACTAACCCTATCAATGTTCATCAGTCTTTCTATGTCTTTCTGGCTTGGTTATTATTAATTTTTTGGTTAAACTAATTGCAAAACAAATCTAAACTAGAAATCCCCATCGATTCACTCGATCATACACCAATACTAAAAAATAAAATAGAAAATTAAACTTTTGTTTCATCAATCTTGTCGTCGATCTCCTTCTTTTTCATCTTCTCCAACTCCTGTAATTTCTTTACATTCAAGAAGAAATCAATCATGAAAGTTTCATAAGAAGGAAAATTCTCGTAACCAGAGAAGTAATTTATATCAACCTGATATCCGAGAGAAACTTATAGCGCCACCAGATTCTGATGCCATCTTCTCTATGGCCTCATTTGAAAGATCCGACAATGAACTCCATTTCACACATTTAACGTAGTCGTCGGCAACGTAAACCTTGAAGATGATCCCACTGTGGTTCACAAACTGTTGCAGCACCATGGGTTTAGACCTTCTCTTTCCAGGGACTCCCCTAATCGCCAATGCCTTCCATCCAATTCACTGTCGTTTGGATTTTCAAACTTATTTCAGAGTATGAACATATCACCAAATGGTATGGAGAGAGTGGCCGGACGCATCCATAAGAACAATCTCGGCCTTGTTAGCATTGGCGTAGTTGTCGACTCGAAAGACGAGGTTTCCCGTGGTGTCGAAGACGGTGAATCTGTCGCAACTGAAAAGCATGGATGTGGTTTCCGGAAGAATACTGAAGCAAAAAATGGTTCTTCAAGTCGCATAACTTCATGCTTATAGTTGACCAAATTTGGGATAACTAATTTGATTCCATGGGTCCAATCGAGCTTCATCTCGATGAAGTCAACCTAATACGGTCGGATAGTGTAACACCCCAAATTTTTCAAAACATTTTCAAATGCTATGGTTATAAAAATATTTGGGTATTAACTCCCACTTAACATAAAACCGGTCCCACAAAAACAATTATAGTTAAAACCTTGGGTGTTACCACTAAGCATCATACAACCATAGCTAGCAAATACGAATTACATCAATAACATTAAATAAGAAACTTAACAAGTTTCACTCCATTCTCTATCTCTTAATCTTCTAACTTCCATCTATCAAAATTCTCCTTAATTGCAACCTGGAATACATGGCATTAAAAAGAGATACGTAAGACAAAAATGTCTCGTGAGCTACGTGGGGTTGTGACCCAAAACATTTATCACTTTTCCATCAAAAACGTTTCATCTTTGCAAAACATAGTTTTAGACCATAAATCAATTTCAAGCATTTTCAAGGAAAACTCGATTCGTATTCATCATAAATATCATTTCATTTCATATCATATCTTATCATTTCATTTTAAAAGACATATTTCTATATTCCATTTTATTTTATCATTAAGGGCTAATTCCGGTATTAAACCGTTGCCATTTTTATACTTAGGGTCTACGTCCAATAAAGGAACCACTCCCACGTCTAGACTAAGGTGGAAAGAACAAATCAATCCATCAAGGCATCATTTCCATTAGGACATCTATCTCGTGAAGGGGAGGCGCTACCCCGATAGATTCCTCCAGTGCCTCTTACGAGGTATCATGGCCCGGGCAGTTTTCATTTCATTACTTTCCATTCCTTTTCATTACTTTATATTTCTTGTCGTTACTTTCTATGCTTTACACATTTCATACATTAGTATCATAATACTAGTTTTAAAACATTTCAAACATATTATCAAAATATTTGTTCTTCAAAACGTTCCTTGCTTTCAAAAACATTCTTGCCTTCAAGGCATTCTTTCAAAACATTCTTTCCAAAATCATTCAAAACTTTCACTTCAAAACGTTTCATATATCAAAACATTAGTATTTCATTATTATAAAAATCATTTTGCCATGTACCCCAAAGTAAGGAAATTGCCAACACGTACTCACCTCAATCACACTTAGGTTAGCTAATGCTCTTCTAGTTCCTTTCCCTAGATCAATCCTCTTCAAACACTTCCTACACCATATATGGACATAAGTCATTAAAATGACCAAAATACCCCTCAAAGTTTCAAATACTAAATTTTATTGCTTCATACTATTCCTTATGTAAAAATATGAATGTAGGCGAAAACCGCATGTAAATCTGAGTCCGTATGCAAAAGTTATGAGGAAAAATACTAAAGTTCAGATTTGTCGTCTAGCCGGGCAATCTGCTGTCTGT